CTGTGCTGGTCAAAGATCGTAATAAATCATTGATTGATTGAAGTCATACTTATATCCTCTGCGGAGGAAAATCTAATTTAATAGTTCTTTTTAACTTTTGGTCTCTTCTATTGGTTTATGATTCCTTATCTTAGCTGTTGCATTTTGTTTTATACTTTACTTGAATAATCTTTGGGGCAGAGGCATTCATTGCCTATTTCTTCTGCCACAAAGAGTGTGGCTGGCTATATAGACAATGTGATGGATGCTGATCAGAAAGAATATGTGAATCCTGGTTCAGGCACATTATGGATTATCAGTGGATATAGCTTGATACGGTAATAATTGTATTGCCTCTTTCAGTTGCCCCTATAGATCATTGGAAGCCTATCTGTCTGCCCTTTACTTCTTCATGAAAGATCGAAATATTTCATTGTCAATTTCATGTGGTACAAATAGACGTACACATTGGTCTGGAATTACATGCACAAATGGCATTTCAGCTCATTCATATCCTCCTTTCTTATTCTTCAACCCATCTGAAAAAAAGCTGCAGCTTTAACTGAATTTTAAAATTAACTTCCATTTAATATTATACTAGCTGTCCCCTGCCACACGTTGCTGTGGCCCAGTTTGTGTATATGTGTTGTGTGTGTGTGTGTGTGTGCATATATATGTGTATATGTGTATATGTGTGTGTTTCTGTTTATATATGTGGTTTTGCACATGCGTTGTAATGTATTTTTTTTTGGCTTTTTAAGTCTCTTCCGCTGTGTTTTTCAGTGTTCTTATGAATGATGGTCACTCGTTGGCCTGATACGTATATTGTGTCCAAATTTAGTGTCAATTCGCCCAGTGGTTTTTGAGTTATGATAATCCCACAAACAAACATTACATTTTTATTTATATAGATTAGAGGGCAAATTTGTAGCTAATCACTGTCCCACTTAGTCGTCTTTTCATTTGCTGAGTTCCAATTAAGAATTTAGATGCTTGTATTTTTGTTTCGCCATCATGTGTGGCTTAATTATAATTCAACAGTGTTGGCATTTCATCGCTAATTTGGAGCCCCCGGTGGCGCAGTGGGTTAAACCCTTTTGCTGGCAGGACTGCTGACTGAAACATCAGTGGTTCAAATCCAGCGAGCGGGGTGAGCTCCCATTTGTCATCTCCAGCTTCCCGTGTGGGGACATGAGAGAAGCCTCCCACAAGATGGTAAAACATCCGGGTGTCCCCTGAGCAACGTCCTTACAGACAGCCAATTCTCTCACACCAGAAGCAACTTGCAGTTTCTCAAGTTGCTCCTGACACACACAAAAATTAGCTAATGTTGACAATGCTACAATGAAATTCATCAATTCAGTTTTTGAGAGTCAACTCATGTTAGAAACAAAGCATCCCTCCTGAGTATGGACTCCTTTCATTACTTTGAAGCATAAACATCCATCTCAAGATGACCATGTGTATATATAATCATTACAGTTGTTTTGCTGTACTTTAACTGCTTTTGGGGAAAAGGATTTTTTTGTTCATTTATTTAAGGAATGTTTCTTTTTTTTATTGGTGATAATTTGGTGGTTTATTGTCACTAGATGTCACTGTTGTGATCCTTTTGCTCCATTTTTAATACATGTAGGAATTGCTCCATTTTTAATACATGTAGGAATTGCTCCATTTTTAATACATGTAGGAATTGCAGGAAATCAGAAGACGCTTACTTCTTGGGAGGAGAGCAATGTCCAATCTCGATAAAATAGTAAAGAGTAGAGACATCAGACTGGCAACAAAGATCCGCCTAGTCAAAGCCATGGTATTCCCTGTAGTAACCTACGGATGTGAGAGCTGGACCTTAGGGAAGGCTGAGCGAAGGAAGATCGATGCTTTTGAGCTGTGGTGTTGGAGGAAAGTTCTGAGAGTTCCTTGGACTGCGAGAAGATCCAACCAGTCCATCCTCCAGGAAATAAAGCCCGACTGCTCACTGGAGGGAAAGATACTAGAGACAAAGTTGAAGTACTTTGGCCACATCATGAGGAGACAGGAAAGCCTAGAGAAGACAATTATGCTGGGGAAAGTGGAAGGCAAAAGGAAGAGGGGCCGACCAAGGGCAAGATGGATGGATGGCATCCTTGAAGTGACTGGACTGACCTTGAGGGAGCTGGGGGTGGTAACGGCCGACAGGGAGCTCTGGCGTGGGCTGGTCCATGAGGTCACGAAGAGTCGGAGATGACTGAACGAATGAACAACAACAAGGAATTGCATCAAACCTGAACAAAGTAGATGATGATGAGCTTGTATAGTACCTCCTATGTCCTTGGTATTGTACGACAATATCTCTTAGGTCCAGGAAGTAATTTATATTAAATATATATTCAACCAGTGAAATGTATCATCTGAAAAGGGCCTTGTGTTTCCAGATAACTTGCCAAGGCCATCAATAAATAGCTTCAAAATAGCTCTTTCAAGAATTTCAAAAGTTCTGACACAGCCATATGGAGATAATTGTTTCCCAGCAAACACAAGAAACAGGTCTCCATAGCAGATTTTTTTTCACGTGTAGATCTCAGTTATACATCCCTTTGTCCCCTGGCATTGATATCTAAGTCCTGTTTAACCTGCTTCTCAAAGTTCAGTCTGCCTCTCTCAAATAGTTGGAAGTTTTCATTCCAGCTTCTGGAATACCAGTTTAAATCAATTTCTTACAAGGCATTGAGAAATCTGCAGAAGTCAACTGTGACGTATAGCAATCCCATCACAGGATTTTCTTGGCAGGATTTCTTCAGAAAGGGTTATTGCCTACCTGTGACACTGACAAAAAGTGTGACATGTCAAAGGTAATTGTTTGTTATTTCTTTTATTTTAACTTCTGAGAACATTTTGAAGTTGTATTCTTGCTATGTAGCAAATGTATACTGTATTATGCTGTAGGTATTTAGGCAGAAAGCTCCCAGTGTAATGAGTCAAAACTACTACTATTCATTGTGTATTTATTCCAACTTTTCTTAATAGATTTGGTTATGGAAAATAAGAAAATGGGAGAAACCAGAAATGGATCAAAACAGGAGAGTTGTAAATAAAATGCATTGTCTGGAAACAGCAGTTGTTGATAAGACAAATCTGGAAGCATTTACAGGTTTGTATGGAAAAACTGTTGGGCTAAATATGTAGTAGCCCTTTCAAAAATTCATGATTCTGTCATTTAACTTCTTGAGGGTGGAGCTAAAACTTCTTACCAGGATGTTGAATTTTTGAAATGGGGTTGCAAGCATGCAGTCCTGAGTGATGAATTCAGCTTACCTGTCTGAATGTATCTCCCTCTATGAACCATCTTGGAGGTTTAGATCGTCCAGTTAAGCCCTGCTCCTGTTCCCACTTCCTTCGCAGATGCAATTAGTGGGGAGAAGAGACAGGGCCTTCTCAGTAGTGGTCCCTTGTCTATGGAACTCCCTCCCCAATGAAATTAGATCAGTGCCCTCCCTCTTGATCTTCAGAAAAAAAGGAAAAACATGGCTGTAGAACCATGGCTGTTGTTTTATTGTTTACTGTTATTGCTTTAATGTTTTTGATTTGCTTTGGTTTATATGTAATTGTTATATTGTTGTTTTATTGTGGCCTTGGCCTTTGTAAGCCACATCGAGTCCTTCGGGAGATGCTAGCGGGATACAAATAAAGTTAATAATAATAATAAATAATAATTTGGGCAGTAAGCAATACAAGGAATGAACAGGGATTATGTGCAATTGTTATTTGATATTGGAAAGGCCTGGATTATGCTTTTGAATCACGTGATTTTAATGTTTATATTAATATGTTTTAAACTCCACATTATAATATTTAAATGGTGTTACATTTTATGATTTGATAGTTTTATGTTGTTGTTGATTTATGTTAGGTTTCATGTTTTTGTAAGGCATTGAATTTTGCCATGAATATGCTGGAAACCACTTTGGGTCCCACCTGGGGTGAGAAAAGCGGTATATAAGTGAAGTAAACAAATAAATAAATTCACAAGTCAGACTGTGCAAACAGTAACTGTCTGGGTCATGGTGAATGAGCAAGCATTCACCATGAATCAGCACCCAGGAGAAACTTCTCTCCAAGCTGCCTAGCACCACAAATTATTTTGCATTGCCATGTATGATTTAGACATGTTCAAGCCCTGTCTCCTTTTCCTACAATAATCAAGGGAAAATTAGGCTATTCTGGCTGTGTATTTGGGGCCTACAGAATAACTAGTTCAATAGGATACAGAGCAAGATGATCACCCTACATATGCTATAGCCAAAAAGGCCTTGATTTTATCTGCTTCTACATAGCAATGACTTATCCTCATTTTTGATGAGTTCTGATTAGAGAGATCCGTCACCAAGCAGCTAAAGTTGGCACTGTGGTCTACCAATATACTGTATATACTCGAGTATAAGCCGACTCAAATATAAGCCGAGGCACCAAATTTTACCACAAAAAACTGGGAAAATGCATTGATTCGAGTATAAACTGAGGATGGGAAATGCAGCAGCTACTAGTAAATTTCAAAATAAAAATAGATACCAATAAAATTACATTAATTGCAGCATTAGTAGGTTAAATATTTTTGAATATTTACATAAAACTGTAATTTAAGATTAGACTAGCCACTCTGATTAAACCATTATTATAATCTTCTTCAATGTAAATACTCTTCCAATAATAATAGGATAAGACAATAAATGTAATAATAAAAATAGAGTAAAATAATAAATAAAATTAAAAATAATAAAAATAGTAAAATAATGTAAATGTAATAATAATAAATAGAGTAAAATAAGAAATGTAATAAAATAATACTAATAACAGTAAAATAATAAATAACCTTGACTCAAGTATAAGATGAGGACAGCTTTTTCAGCCTAAAAAGGGGCTGAAAAACTAGGCTTATACTCGAGTATATACAGTAGTTATAAAAATACCTCAGTAGCTGCATAAAATACATTAATAATCAATAAAGGTTCTGGTTAGATGTAATAACTAAAATACCAAAATGGTTCTTTAATAATGCAATTGGTTTATTTGTTCATTCATTCATTTTGTACCTTATCTTTCTCCTAAGAAAGGATTCAAATCAGCTTACAAATCCTTTCTACCCAGTATTATTTTTCTGATTCAGCATGAAAAATCTCTTTTACACAACTTTCTTGCAGGTGGCTGTGCACTCAAGTTCTCCACCATCTGGAGGACATACGCAAGTTTCACATTCTTTTTCAATCTTTCCTCCAGCTTCTACATAATGATAATCGTTAATGCGACAAGCACATACACCACAGCCATCCATAGGCCTTCCTATATACTTGCATGTTGGAGGAATTTCAGGGCAAACTGAAGCACATTGAATGTTGTTAGGAGATATACAAGTACACTTTTGGGTGCCAAAGTCAATGTACACGGACTCTCCCTGACGAAGGTATCCATCCTTGGGACAACCATGTTTCAGGTGGGGAGGGCAGAGACACCGAGGGGATGGGATGCAACGAGGGCAGCATTGATTCCCAACAAACACTGCTTTGTGGTTGGCAGGGCAGGCTGGACACTGAACTTGCTGGCAGTCTGGAAGTGGAGGGCTTTTGCAGTCAGCATCGTGTAGGAAGCAGCAGTTCAGCAGCAGGCAAAGGAAGACCTCGGGCTTCATGATTCTGTATCCAATGCAACAAGGTCCATCAATAACATGGAAAATCTTTACTTTTTTCAAATAAAAACAATTACCAAACTCTCCTAATGGAAAATCATTGGTTTACTTACCATTTCCGCTCTATTTCTATTGCTGATTATTTGGCACAGCATAAGTCTTGCTTACTGTATAATCTTGTACATGGAAACTAAAAGTAAACCCTATATAGTTATGTGGTTCTTACTAATCCCTGGTACAATTCAAAGAAAGGGCAATGTTAGTCTGGAATATCAATCTGCCAAGGGATTTTGTAGCACTTTTGTGGCTTATTCAAAGACTGACGCTGGTAGCATAAGCTTCAGTAGACTAAGAACCTCTTCACACAGGGCAAAATAGCCCATTTTGGCACTTTTGGTTGGGGCTTGGCCAGGGCCTACTGAGTACCATCAGACGATGCATGGCGGACCCTGCCCACATTCCTCTCAAAGTGGAGGGAAGAGTCAGAAAGCGCTTCCTCCTCCACCACAGAGAGGAAAGTGTTTTTTTGGGTAGCTCCAACCGAGCTACCCACACTTTCCTCCCCTGTTCCCTATATGATGGGGGAAAGGGCGGCAGGGCAATGCACATTGCCACACATTGCTACCCTTTCTCCTATCTGATGCGGACGGGGGCAGGGTGCCACTGCGCCCAGTCCTGTCCCCACCATATGAGGAACCTCATGTGCTTTCCTTTTTGTGTGAAGAAGTTCTTAGTCTGCTTTCTTTAAATGCACCAAAGAAGTAGACTCAGGACTTTATTGTACAAAGCCACTATCTCCCAGTATCTGCATGATCAATGATACTGATAATTTACGGGGATTATCTCTTCTCTGTAGTTGTACAACTGCAATGATTCACCAATCCTTGGTCCTGTTGCTATATTTCTGGCAGGAGCATAGCTGCCCTCCCACAATTCTGCTGCTCCAGTTTTTTTTTTAAAAAAAAGTAATGCTTATAATTATTAGAAATTACAACCTTCTTCAAACCTCCTGTAGTAATATGTTCATTTATAATTCTGTTGTTTTGTTGTTGCATGTATGTTCTGTTATGTAGCTTTCTTTCCTTGTTCTATTTTTTCCTGAGAATTTGTGGAAGGGGCTGCAGACCACAAGATATGCTCTGGGACCAACACAGAGCATAGACTTCTTTTAGACTTTGAACTACTCAGATCGCAGACTTGCAAACACTTGCTGTTTATTGTAAGAGAGATGTTCTGACCGGATGACACAGAAACTATCTCAAACATATCTGTAACTTACTGATAGGTTGTTTACCTGTGTATGCTGAACACATGAAGTATGTTATTTTTACCAAAGTCTACTGTGATTTTTCTCATGAGTGCATAATACAAAACAAGTTGTTTTATGGGAGAGTAGATATTTTTTGGGCACTGAAAAACACTTCTGAAGAACTGCTGTTCTTTATGCACTAGCATATTCCCTGTTTCTTAACACATCAGAGACAACAGGTTGTTCAGCCTAACAACTGAAGCCTTGCATATTTGCATTTGGTTGAATATGACTTGAGAAGATTATACGTACTCAAACAGGTTTTTGGCTCTTTTTTAAAAGATTGTGATCTCTAAAAGGTCATGCTTTTCTAAAAATAAAAACAATTTTGCAATTCCAGGAAAAGGTTAACAAAAGAAAACAAAATACAAGGGGAAAACCCTTTAAATTATGAATTAGTACAAGGGAGAGTGGGAGAGAAAGGCAGTCCTGACCCTTGATGTCACTTTAGTGCCAGTATGCTAGCACAGAGGCAGAACAGGTTCATTGCACCAGGTACATAATGTGGAACTATTGATAAGTCATCGGGGAGTATTGACAGGTTTTCCCATCAATAGTTTGTTGTTTATTCATTCAGTCACTTCTGACTCTTCGTGACCTCATGGACCAGCCCACGCCAGAGCTCCTGTTGACCATCACCACCCCCAACTCCTTCAGAGTCAAGCCAGTCACTTCAAGGATACCATCTATCCCTCTTGCCCTTGGTTGGCCCCTCTTTCTTTTTCCTTCCATTTTCCCCAGCATCATTGTCTTCTCCAAGCTTTCCTGTCTTCTCATGATGTGGCCAAAGTACTTCATCTTGGCCTCTAATATCCTTCCCTCAAATGAGCAGTCAGGCTTTTTTTCTTGAAATATGGACTGGTTGGATCTTCTCACGGTCCAAGGCACTCTCAAAATTTTCCTCCATCAATAGTAGGGGATGATTTATCACAGGTGGCAACCTAGTAATGGGCTGTGCATGGTGTTATACCATAGGGACAGTCACCAAAGAGGATGGTTCTACTTCAATGCCAGTTTGCCACCTTGTGCAAGAAAGTCCTTAGGCTGTAGCCACACTGCAGAATTGTAGAAGTTTGTTATCACTTTATCTACCATGGCTCAATGCTATTCAATTCTGGAATCTAGTTTTATGAGACATTTAGACTTCTCTGTCAGAAAGCTCAATTAACACAATAAATGTACATCCTAGAATTCTATAGCATTGAGCCATGGTAATTAAAATGGGATCAAACTGCTACAATTCTGCCATGTGGTTACACACTTAGTCTTCAAAGTTTATGGTACCAATTTTGTTCACTCATCCTCAAAAGTTGCTACATGGTCTCTTTGCATGAAATACTTCTGAGTATGTGTCTATAAGATAGCACACCGAAATCAAATAGGCAGTTAACTAGATCAGGGATGCTTCAGTTTTGGCCCAATAGGTTGTGCTTGCGTGGCCCAGTGCACTTTTCCCTGCAGTCCAGCTAATCAATTGGCCAAGCAATAGGAGAAAGGCCACTACAATAATTCAGATTAATAGGTGTGTGGGCATTTAATGGCATTATCACCCAAAGAAGTGGAAATCAATAACTGGGTTCCTACTGGGCAGTTAGCAATGCATGACTGTAGATTACATATTCATGACTGTTACATTTCCATGATCCCTGTGTACTCCCTAATTTAGGGGCTGTGTAGGGACCTTGAAAATCCTCTAAATATCACTTAGTGATAAGCATTAAGCAGCATGGGGATCAACAGTGCTTATTTCACATGTCAATCGAGAAGCAGTTGCCTGACATTTCCATCCTCCTCACATGAGTGATTGTCAATCTGAGTGAGTTTAGCATCAGGAGTCCATGTTTTACCTGTTGTGCTGCAGATCACTCATATGACAGAAGGTGAATATTAGGCAAGCACTTTTTGATTGATAGCAGAATAAATTCCTTTCGATTCCAACAGCTGCTTACTGGTTGTTGGAATATGGAAGAGTGAGATCTGACCAAAATCCACTATACAGGAACATGCAGGGCTATGGAATATGTAATGGTGATAAACTATCTCTCAAATGTCTTAGTTTCATCAATGCAGTAAATCAACCATTTTTTAAGATGAAAACTGGCTGAGATCAAAGTTGTCCCAACAAATCCATTACACCTGATGTGATGTGCTTTCTGGCTCGGGATGTTTGGCTATTGCAATATTGCTTTAATTCTGCCCCTATAAGCAGAAACATAGAAAGATACTTTGCTTTGACAGAGAATTACCTATAGATTCCGGGAGTTTAAAGAACAGATTATTTGAGATTATAGTTTTGTGTTGTGTTAATAAACCTTCTTGTTTCAAAACTATCTCTGCTTTTGTATCAATCTTGGAGTCAGGCCATGCATGCCAAAACTAGAAACATGACGACACAGCCACAAGTCCACACTTAAAGGGTTTCCCTGAAGTTCAGTAACCCAATCTAGAAAGGGAATAGTTGGCGGAACAAGGGCGAAATGAGTGGCAGGATTCCTAGGGTTTTGGGGCCAGCCTGGTTAAGGGATTTATTATACCTACCAATTTCACAAGTGCCATTTGATGTGTTTTTCTGTGTATTTTCTGATTTTTGAGTGCATAATAATGAGCTTTATTTAAACCCTGCATATGTGAAAAACAAAAAAGTCTCAAGATTACTTCAGTCAGTGGTCTGAAGATCACACACAAACACCCTTTGCTGTGTTGCATTGTTTATCATCTTCTCTGATGAAAGGTTCATGAGAATATGGAAGTTTGATTTGGTCTCATACAGGCACTACTCCACAGATTTGTATTTATTTCATTGGCAGCACTCTACTCACTCTTTTCTGTTTTCTTGATTCATTGTGTACACCAAATAACATACAAGAAGGAAGGCAGATTGTAAATCCTGTTTCAAACTTTCAGTGATCTTTCTCAACTAGGTACATATCACTCAAACCTGAAGTTCAACTGTAGTTTCCTATTGACATCTCTCCTCGATTTGCAATTCATATACAATGGAAATTTCGTTCCTCCCCTTTGTACCAACTTTTTCCTCTGTTTTCTAAAATGTTTCTAAACTAAAATTCTGGACTGGATTGCCCTTGTGGGCTATTCCAACCCTATGATTCCATTCAGTTCAAATTTGTAGGATAATTTACAGTACAAATATGGATAAAAGAAATCATCAACCCAATTCTTTCAACTCTTCCACTTGATACTTCTGTAAAAATTAAAACTGTAATTTCTCAGTCTTATTTCATGATAGCTATAGGATTGTGACATAGCCAAATCCCTTTCGATCATATGAAAAGCAAAATATTTACCTGGATATATTTCTGGTGTCGGTGCTGCAGAGGGTTTGAACCACAGGCTGTGCGTGTTCCTGAGTAGCTGGATGCTGGTTCAAGCTTGAAAGTGCTCTATTTATACCTGTGAAGTGAAGGGAAAACTGCTAAAGTATGCTGCTAGGTGGGGCTAAAAGCTGGAAAGGTGTGTTACATATGTCACAAAAGAAACCAGTTCCTATTTCCAATCTGGTTCTAGAAAAAAATGAGATCAACTCTTGACAACAATACACTTTTAATCTTAAAAAAAAGTAAAGATGCAATACACAATTCATTCAATCATTCAATCAATCATTCCAGTGTTAAGGTAAAGGTTTCCCTTGACATTAAGTCTAGGTGTGTTTGATTCTGTGGGGTGGTGTTCATCTCCATTTCTAAGCCAAAGAACCAGCATTGTCCGTAGACATCTCCAAGGTTATGTGGTCAGCATGACTGCATGGAGCACTGTTACCTTCCCGCATAAGTGGTACCTATTGATGTACTCACATTTGCCTGTTTTCTAACTGCTAGGTGGGCAGAAGCTGGGCCTAACAGTGGAAGCTCACCCTGCTCCCTGAATATGAACCACTGATCTTTCGCTCAACAAGTTCAGCAGCTCAGCAGTTTAACCTCCTGCACCACCAGGGGACCCTAAAAAAATCTATCAAAGTCAAATGGTGCCTTTATTTTTGTTTCATTTTTTCCACTGGGTCAATATTTTTATGTACAAAAATTACTGTGACATCCTAAATGATAATTCTCTTTTACGGATTTACCCATTGAACATTCTTGTAATATAAAATCTTGCCTGAGAGTCAGGTGTACTGCTTTCAGCATTGCATGGTAATTCTGAAGAAGAAGAAGAAGAAGAAGAAGAAGAAGAAGAAGAAGAATCATCATCATCATCATCATCATCATCTCCATTTATGCCTCACCACCATCTCCCCAAAAGGGACTCGGGGAGGCTAACATGAAGCCAAGCCCAAGATTACAGTACAGCAATATACAGTACTAGCTGTCTCCTGCCCCTGCCACAGCAACGCATGGCAGGGGACGGCTTGTGTGTGTGTGTGTGTGTGTGTGTATACATGCCATCCCCTGCCATGTGTTGCTGTGGCCCAGTCTGTGTATATGTGTTTTGTGTGTATATATATTTGGGTATATGTGTATATATGTGTGCTTGTGTGTATATATATATGGTTTTGCGCATGCGTTGTAATGTAATTTTTTGGTTTTTTAAGTCTCTTCTGCTGTGTTTTTCAGTATTTTTATGAGTGATAGTCACTTGTTGGCCTGATAGGTGTTTTGTGTCCAAATTTGGTGTCAATTCGTCCAGTGGTTNAATCAGAAAGCTGCCACATACACCTTCCGCCCTTCCTCTGTCCTATACAAACAAACACTCTCTTTTATTATATACTAGCTTAGGGACCCGGCGCTGCCCGGGTTATTTGAGAAAGGAATTATGTATCAAGGTTGGTCTTTATCAGTTATTTATATGGCTCGCAGTTGTCTCAGGAAGTTAGTGAAGTTACTGTGATTCCCATTATCTGTGGTCCATCCCCCTCCAAAGTGCTCCAGGATGGAAAGTTGGTCATGGGGGTTTTGTGTGCCAAGTTTGGTCTTGATCGGTCATTAGATGAGTGTTGCAGAGGTCTTGGGAAGTGAGTGGAGGTACTTGAAGTCCCATCATCCATAGTCTGTACTCCCCCAAACTTCAACAGAATGTTGAGTTGGCCATGGGGGGCTCTATGTTCCAAGTTTGGTCTTTATTGGTTTTTGAATGAGTGTCGCTATGGTTTCAGGAAGTGAGTGAACGTACTGCAAGTCCCATCATCCATCGTCCATCCTTCAAACAGCACCGGGATGTAGGGTGGGTCATGGGGGCTGTGTGTGCCAAGTTTGGTCTTGATCGGTCATTAGATGAGGGTTGCAGCAATCTTGGGAAGGGAGTGGAGGTACTTGAAGTCCCATCATCCATGGTCTGTCCTCCAAACTGCACCAGGGTGTAGAGTGGGTCATTGGGGCTCCGTGTGCCAAGTTTGGTCTTGATTAGTCATTGGCGAGGGTCTCAGTGGTCTCAGAAAGTGAGTGAGGTTACTGCAAGTCCCATCATCCATCTCCATTTTTTCCTAATGACACCAGGACGTAAAGTGGGTCATGAGAGGTCTATGTGCCAAGTTTGGTCTTTATCAGTCATTGCATGAGGTTTGCAGAGGTCTCAGAATATGAGTGAAGGTACTGGAAGTCACATCATCCATTGTCCGTCCTCCTCCAAAACTGCAGCAGGATGTAGAGTGGGTCATGGGGGCTCTGTGTACCAAGTTTGGTCTTGATCGGACATTAGGTGAGGGTTGCAGCAGTCTTGGGGAGTGGAGGTACTTGAAGTCCTATCATCCATGGTCTGTTCTCCTCGAAAGTGCACCAGGATGTAGAGTGGGTCATGGGGACTCTGTGTGCCAAATTTGGTCTTGATCAGTC